ATGATAATGAGCATGAAGATGAGGATGAAGAAGTGATGATAATGGATTATTATGTAGATGCTTTGTTCAGCATCATTATGTTGATTGTGTATTTATTTGTTTGAAGGCTATATGTCAGGCTGGTGTTTGCTCAGATGTCGCAACGATGCTTTCGCTGTTTAGCTGCGTCGAAAGTTGCATCTAGATAACAGGCCATCCTATCTTCTCAACAACTTAATTGTAGTGCACATTTGAAGTTGTTGGGTAGCCAGGATCGCTTGTTAGTTGTCCAAGCACGAACCTGATCGTTAAATTATACATTGCAAAAGTGGTGTAAATTTAATTTGGTTATATTGGTTATGACATAAAATTTGACAATAAATCTTATAAAGCATGTCTTATAATGATGAATAATCAAATTCATATAAAAAATAAGCAAAAAATGTTCCGGTTTCTACCGGAATCGAACCCGGTTGTAGCACGATAAATAATTAAATATCATCAATCAATCAATCAATTAATTAACCAACCAATCAATCAATCAATCAATCAATCAATCAATCAATCAATCAATCAATCAATCAATCAATCAATCAATCAATCAATCAATCAATCAATCAATCAATCAATCAATCAATCAATCAATCAATCAATCAATCAATCAATCAATCAATCAATCAATCAATCAATCAATCAATCAATCAATCAATCAATCAATCAATCAATCAATCAATCAATCAATCAATCTATCAATCAATCAATCAATCAATCAATCAATCAATCAATCAATCAATCAATCAATCAATCAATCAATCAATCAATCAATCAATCAATCAATCAATCAATCAATCAATCAATCAATCAATCAATCAATCAATCAATCAATCAATCAATTAATCAAATACAGTATTTGTAATTTTATTACGGTTTTTTTTTACTAAGTGTATGATTTATGATTATTTCTTTTGAATCATGTTTTTATCAAATCGAGAAAACCACTTGTATATATATGAATTATTATTATAATTCAGATTATACGTTATAATTCAACCTAATCTGTTGAAAGGTTTATGAAAATGAATTGAGGAGCGATTATTCGTGATTTATTGAATTAAATTTTTCTCTTTGGTTGATTATTGTTGATTATTTTCGTGCAAACTACGTTATATTCATGTAATTTTTTTATAGCAAAAGAACCCATTTCGTGCATATGGCGTTAAATCCAAAGTTATGAGTTGCGCAAAACAAGTTTAATCCATCAACGAAGGAAGTGTGTTTGTTAGCATCACGTGATTGATATTATTCTCGATGTTTACTAGTTTTGCGGTCGATTCGAATAATATTTTGATTATTGACAATATTCAGTGGCGGATCTAGACAACTTTGATGGGGGGGCCAAAATTTTGAAAATTTTTAAATGTTCAAATTTTTTTTCAAATTTGGACAAAGAGCCAAGATTTGTGGTAGCGTGGCCAAATTTATGCTGGCGACCTTTTTTTGAACTGATGATAACGGGGGGGGCCATGGCCCCCAGCCCCCTCCTAAATCCGCCACTGACAATATTATAATTACATCCAATTATTTTTATAATTGTAATTATTGGTTTTTAGAATAAAAAATAAAATAGATTGACGCACTGCAAAAGTAACAATTGACTGAGAAATTGTCATAATATTGGATTATATAAATACACATTCAAAATGAGTTTATTCCAAAATAAAATGTCTCTAGCAAAAATTACAAAACTATATCCACTGTATATTCATTTTGATAATATTTTAGGCATTGTTTATTAAATTGGTAGAATCTTGGAGATTCTGGTCCAATTTTAAAAAGTTGCATTTCTACGAAATTGATTAAACGGGATTTAACTTGTTTTGCATAATCAAATGGACTTTGTTATTTTATATTTGAAAAGGTCTTCATTTAATCACATAAGCTTATAGATAATACCAATAATAAGTATAATCATATATACAGAATAAAAAATATTGTATAAGTAACTATTCTAAATATATGATTATTTCTTTTTGTATCAAGTTTTTATCAATTCGAGATTGAAAGATTTAGGGCTAATAACACTCGAATTGAACTTATAAATGCCCTTCAGCATAGCCAAAGCTTAGTTCTTACTTAGAAAGAATTTAAATTTAAAATGGTTTATTTTTGAAATTTGTAAAAATAGATTAACATTTTTTTAACAATTGAAAATACCGGGGCCTTATAAATAATAATTCTATTGAGAAAAACATTGAAATGGCTGAAAATAGTTAGTCAATAATTTAATTTACTTTTAATTAATTGTTTGAATTAATTAAATATATTCAAAACAAAATTATTTATTTTTTATACAATTTATTTGATAGTTTTGAAATGTTTGATAAGATTACAAATTTTTATCACATGTACAAAAGAAATTAATTGTCAATCATTCATTTAGGCAACTTAAAATTATACAGTTAATCAGAATCAGAATATTTAGAGCGTTCAATTTTTGTGCTGAATAACGTAATTGAATTTTTCCAGGGCAAGGATCGTTGCCTACAGATCCGACCTTCGATCACATAATGAATGAACATTCAAATGATCACTTCAAACTATTTCAAAAATACGGGAAAGAAATAATTACAACGTATCGTATAATTGATGAAATTATTAAAATATTAGAAAGAGAAAATATTTACGTATGGCCAAGATTTATGGGACATGGAGAAGATAATAAGCAATGCAACAAACTTTTTGAAATCATGCTTGTAATGGGCGAAAGCCTAAAGCTTGAGGTTAGAAAAATTATCCAGTTAAAGAACTTTTGTTTACAAATTTATTTTCTATTTTTTAATTTGTGAAGTTTTAAAAAATTCAAATATTTTTAATTATGGGCGTGGCGAGGAGGTCCAACGACAGACGCCAGCCTCTGGTCCAAGCATATAACATTCATGAACCGCTGAAAAGTTATAAAAAAGCGAATACATATCTAACTGAAGCTTATTGCCAGAGCAGTAGATGTCGCCTCAGATTCTCTGAATGAGAGGTGTAAGTTTCTTCATGAATTTAAAAAACAATTCAGCCTTGGCTTATAGTCTCGTGGCCGAGCGGTTAAATTGTTCGTCTACCACTCTCACAACCCGGGTTTGAATCTCGCAGTTTCTATAAGTTCATCCAGTCGTTCATCCCTTCGAGGCTGGTAAATGGGTAGACGACGTAAGTTGTCGCATGTTGGCCGGCGAGATGGCTCAGTGGTTCGAATGCTCGCTGAGTCAAACATCTCAATGGCTATCATATACTCAGCATACAAATAAATACGTTTGCACGTCGTGTGAGAAGAATAAGCAGCCTTTGTGGCGAAGGTGGCTGCTTTAGGCATTTCGTCAAGAAAATATTCTTCGTCACCAGACACATGACACATTTCGTGACACATTTCTTGGCTGAATGTAACCAACTAACATAGTTTAGTAGCTCTGATGCCGAATTCGATTTAGAGATGTGACTTGGAGATTATTTTCCCAAACTTCTCTCTTTTTAAATTTTTTTATTTGTTTGCTTGTTGTCGTACATTTCATTGCACGATAGTAGTTAAGGTTGTCATCAACACATACATTGGTATTTTGCTGTGATTTTTGCCAGAAGAAATATATTCAATTTAATCATTGTAACAAAATAAATATATTTTATATATGGTTTGTTTGCCCAGTTAATTATATGTGCATTTTTATATTTTATTTGATATTATTATATTTTTTCGTTTTTAATTAATATTTCCATTATCAATGTTGAATATCGCGTTGTTTATGTCTTTGAATAAGTTATTGTCACATTGTTTTTAAGAGCACGGGCAAGTAGACGAGCAGCCGAGTTAAAAGCTTTAACAATATTTAACAATTCATCAACTTTATATAAATTAACGGTTTATAATTACAAATATAAATACATAATTTTTATGAATTTGATAAATATAATTGTATATAAAAATTTTTATATTATAAATACATAAACAAAAAATGATTTCAAACTGAAGCAATTTTGTTTGTTACGCTAAGCCCGTTCAAATGTTTAATCCCACTACAGACGAATGATGAAATTGAACCCATGGAGATTGAATTGGAGACGTATGAATATAATTGTGTATATTTATCTCCCGAGAATAATAACAGTTATTTATCTAAATTTTTTGTTGAAAGTAATAATCAAGTTAGGTTGAACTTTTGTTTTCATTACTTTGAACCGAAATAAAATAGTTTAATTATTAACATGGATATAATATTTAATTCAATTAACATAATCATGTAATATATCAATAGGAAAAATCGACTAGAGACAATCGAACTTTTCTAGTCAAAAATTATGATGGTCGTTATCTATCTGCATCAGCCCTTGCAAAAAATTTTATGGAAAAGATTGAAGGTTGTGTTGTTATCTTTGAACGAAACAACTCCAGTATAAAAACAAATATATCTAAAGATCCAACCTTTTATATGACTGTCAAAATGGTGGTTCATTTTTTTATAACATCAATTTATTTTCAGTTTCATAAATAATTAAACAATTCATTTTCAAAGAAAGAAACACCTGCAGAATTCTCAGTAAAAATTTATCTCGCTTTAACACTCCGATGTGGAAGATACTTCATCTCAAGTAGAAATCAAACATTTTGCTGGAAAAAAGATGACAATGACCATTCAATAGACGAGTCACTTTCTTCAGATGACAATGACCCTTCGAAAAACAAGTCACTTTCTTCAAAACTCCAAGAAATTAAAAACAAACATCCAATATTATTTGAAATGGTGTTTTATTATTTAAAAAAAAAATTTCAGAAAGTATTACAAAAATTTACTTATAATGATCTTTGTTTGAAAAAATATTTTGGTCCCGAATTGAATGATTTGTTGCAAAAATTAAAAACCGAACTTAAAAATTATAGCCGTTGTCCTTCGCAACCGGAGAATGAAGAGGAGGATTTTGTTGTGCAATCCACGAAGAGTAAGTAGTCTTAACAATGATTTATCAGTCACGTATTTATCTGTACATGTGAATATTAATAAACATAATGATTGAAATTTCAGAACTTAAAAGCTGGCATGTAAGTTCGCGCTTCATAACTTGGATAGAGAAATGTGCAAATATGAAAGCCATTTGGCTAGATAGACTGGATGAAGCTACACAAAAATCTCGCAGCATTATAGGAGACATTGTTGAACAACTAAAAGCAAATAATGTTATTGTAACTCCGGAATTTTTCGGAAGAGCTTCCGAAAATTTTCCATCGGAAACATTTGAAAGAGAATTTGATGTCATGCTTGTTTATAACGTGAAGGGAACTATTGAGGTTACAAAACTACTGCATTATACAACAAATTCATAATTTATATTATATTATACTATTAGGCTATAAAAATATTCTTATTTCATTGATATTCTTTAACATGAGTTTTTCAAATTACTAAATACAATTAGAAAATACCATCTCCTATTGCCGACCGCTGTTTTATGATGGTAAAATCTGGAGAAAGCATACCAATACCATCAGTAACTGTCGAGGATGATCATAATCGTTACTTAAAACCATCCTCTATGTTGGAGTACTTTAAAGAAAACATTGATATAAGTTGCAGAAAATATGAACGAGAGCATTGGAATACAAATACAGAACTTCGTGGCCAAAGCATTCTAATGAAAGTCTCAATACCGGTTATTTTTTTTAGTCTTTGAAATTTATTTCTGTCATATGCTGAAACGTGTGACAAACAGCATAAATAATTAATAAGTGAAAAAAAAGAGAAATTCAGTATTAGTAAATTTATTTAAATAAAATGATAAAAAACAAAATTAGAATCAAATTTTTGGTGCTGATGAGACGTCATTAAAAAAAATAAAAAGAAGGGAAAATAAACGAAGAAATAAAATTTTGAAGAAATAATGAAATTAGGTTAATGACGTGCAAACTGTCTGTTGGTGATTGGATCGGTGATTTGGTTGGTGATTGGATTGGTAGTTGGATTGAAGTTGCTTAGATTGTTGATTGGATTGTTGATTGAATTGGTGATTAGATTGAAAGTGCCTAGCGGTGCTTGAGCTTGTGCTTTGATGGCGGTAACATGAGTCTTTTTTATAATATCAATTTATTTTCAAAATTTTGTCAAATAAACAATGAAATTTTACAACTCCAGCAAGGTGGAGATGTTCGATTTTTGGAATTCTCAATAGATATATGTCTTACATTGGAAGTGGAGACTGATGAATTTTACGTATGTAATCACTATGATAAATTTGGGCGCTTGTTCATCTGGGGTAAAGATCTTCATTTGTGGAGAAAAACTTCCAGCATTAATGAAACAAAAGAAATTTTTAAATTCACTCCTGAAAAACAGGACCAGAAAAAGATTTTACATGTTTTCAAGTTTATTAATGATTATTACAAGCCATTTGAAAAAAGCTTATCTTATTATTTCAAAATTACTGTATTAAAGACATTGTCGAAACACCAGGATGAGTGCCGGTCAAAAAAAAGATTAGGGTTGATGTTGATAAATTGGTTGAATTCTTTAGTTACATTTCTAAAAGATCGTCATCTGCCTTGTTTTTTCCAACCGGATGATGAACAGTTGATTGTAATAGATGGAGAATATATCTTAAAATATCGGCACTTGTTGCAGAGGTTAATTGATGAAGAAGACTTTATGATGGAGATCTTGAAAAAAATATGATTGTAAATTTAATTAATGAGAATTATTATATAACTAATTAAGTAAAAATCAGTACCAAAATGATTAAGTTTTTTTTTATTTTTGTCAAAACTAATGAAATATTTGAATTGGAAATATTAATGAAAAAATTGCTATGAGTTGTTGATTTAAATCATAAAGTACTTTTCTTTGATTGTGTCAAATAAATTTTTATTCCATCCATCCCACACACCTTTTTAAAATGTATTCAATTTCTATAGGGTCAAACTTGCAGAAAATATAAAGGCCCTAGAGCAACTAAATTCGGGGTTATTATTGTTTAACAGATAGTTTTAATTATTGGTAAAAATCGCTAATTATAAAATTTTGCTATAGGAGAATATGGTAGTCTAATAATTTTTCCTGTGGGGCTTCCTATCAGTATGTCTTCAAAATTCTACACTAACAATTATCACTTTTTTACAAAACTTTTTTTGGTAATGTTATGCAGCAGGAGTTTACTCAAAATTTACAACTTCTCTACACAGAGCTGGTTAGAATAAAACTAGTCGTTTTGAATCTGAGTGCTAAAAGTATGGGTCCGAGTATACGAGGGTAGAAATGCGAACGATTTCTGCAGATATCGATAAGTTGTTTATAAAATATTCATATATTTATATAAATATCGATATTTTTATGAAATATATTTTCCTATCTGAAATAAACTTAAACACATGAATAAAAAAAATGAACAAATAAAAAAAAATAAAAGAAATACTGCAGGCTGAAAAATACAAAAAATCGTTGAATAAAAATCCAAGTCCAATCCGGCGAAATATTTAAGATACACATAAAATTTTAATAAAACCTAAAACAGAATATAAAGCAACATGTATGTTAAATAAAAATCAATAAGATAAGCATTGAATAAAAATTTTAAACTTATATTTAAAAGGGCGGTAAACCATACAAGTCTTTATAAATACTGGTAGTTTATTCCATTCCAAACATATATTTCTACCTAGTTGGGTTCTTACAACGGAGACTTTCAATTTATTTTCACAATTAGACCATGATGGTCTTGCCTTTATATCATGCTTAAATGATTCATGCACGTGATCATCTGATGTTACTTGAAGATTATTAATTAATTTAAAAATAAAACAACAGCATTTGAGACCAATAATTTCAAAAATTGATAAAATTTTAAGTTTATTAAAAAGGTTTTATTTATCTAAAATGTTTTTAAAATTTATAATTTTTAATGCTTATTTGGGCATTAGATAAAGTAACTAAATAAGTTTTAAAAGTATTACCCCATATTAGATTTCTATAATACAAATGTGGATATAAAATAACGTAATACATTAAAACTGAAATTTTATTTGGTAGAAGATATTGCCGGAAATTTTACAAAAAGACAACCGATGGTTTGGTGTGAGGTAATCTCTTCCTCTATCTTTCTCAGGGAATTTTTTTATGGTCCGACAATAATTTTTGTGTATATTTTTATCGTGAGTTCGACCAGTCCTGTGTGGCACTGGGCTTTTCGAATTATATGATTTTACTGAGTAAAACTCGAACGCGTAAAAATATTCGATAACAATTTTATTAATCGACGGAAGTAAATGAAAAGGAATTGAACTAAATGAACTCTATAATAATGTAAAATGTCAATGAAGAAACTGGAATACAGGAATTAGAACTTCTTCTTGTGGGATCTTCGACTTGGGATATGTTTCTTGCCGTTTAATCGTACAACCTCGACGTGTGTAACCGATAGTGATGTCGATACAACTCCGAGAAATAAAATGAAACGAATGCGGAAAAATTAGAAGAATCGGAGCCTATGGAAATTGGAAGCTGCGTGTGAAACTATACCAATGAGTATAAAATCCAGCAAAGAACCCTAGGTCCACAAATAGCACAAGAAACAAAACAGCCAAAACAGCGAGGCGGGTTCGTTTTCACAGAATCCAAGGCCTGTTTTCACTGGGCCTGTCTGTCAGTCGGTCGGCTTTCGCACAACCCTGGCCTGTTTTCACTGGGCCGTCGAGTCTGATCGGCTTTCGCACAACCAACACAAAACAACAAGAGTCAGAACAACACTGGAAACAAATTGTGTGACTTTAGTACGCGTGTGAAACTATGCCAATGAGCATAGAGTCTCGTACCAAATCCACTTTTGAGAACTTAAGACGTTTCTGAAACTATGCCAATGAGTATAGAATCACGCAGTAAGTCTCTTAGATACCAGAGTAGGCACTGATTATTCGAAGCTGCCTAACTGGTGAAACCCAGGCGGACTTTTTTTGAGAACTTAAGACGTTTCCAAGTCAACCTCCCTCTCTTCTCTTCGAGAACTTAAGACGCCTCCGTGCTAATGGGCATAGAGTATCGAATTAAGTCTCTGAGGGACCAGAATAGGCACTGATTATTCGAAGCTGCCTAACCGGTCAACCTCCCTCTTTCCTCGCTGTCTCCTTCCTCCACCCAAAGCAAATTAGATTTTGTTTCGGGTGTTTTTTAAACATAAAAATTTCCAAGGTATGTCCAATTAATCAAAAAAAAACTACTAATTAAATTTTAAAAATAATTTGTAATAATTTATGACGTCATCTAAATTGCAAAACAATCACCTATCGAGTAAATTAACTTGCACCATGCCCCCTATCGAGTGAATAAATTTTGCGTTGAAAACTTTTTGAAGTATTTTTAGTCAGTATTAATTCATAATTCTGACAATATTTTAATCTGTTCATTATCCTCAGATTTCTGTTTATTTTTTGCAAAATAAACTCAATATTTTTTTTTAAATTGAATTTCTTATCTATCACAACTTCTGATAATTCAAATTCTTCAACTTTGTCGAATATGCTATTACCTAATTTTAAAACAATTCATTACCATCTCGATTTAAATCATTAAAAACTATATACTTAGTTTTTTTTATATTCATATTAATTTTATTATAAATAGACCAAGTGTGCAATTTATCTAAACAAATGTTTGTAGAAACATTCAAATTCTTTATGTCTCTAGAAATGATGACCAATGTTATGTCATCTACTGAAATTAGAGATTTTGGTTGTATTGATGATATCATTGATAAAAAGTATGAATAATTTTTGGGCCCAGAATATTTCCCTGTGGTACCCCACTTACTACTAGATGGGTATCTGATTTACAATGATTTATTGATACTTACTGAAATCTATTTGTAAGGTAACTACGAAACCATTTCAAAGCATGCCCTCTGATTCCGTAATGTTCCAATTTAAGCAAAAGTACATCATGTGGAACGGAATCGAACGCTTTTGAGAAATTCAAAACCACGGTGGAGACAACATGACCAACATCATATTTAAAAACGATTTCATTAAAAAGTTTCATAACTGCATCCTCAGTCGAAAAATTCTTGAGAAACCCAAATTGGTTATTTGTTAAAATATTATTGGCACTCATAAATGACTCCAGTCTTATCTCGACAACCTTCTCTAACTCCTTTGAGAAACAACTATAATTGTTAACATTATTAGGTGAGTTAGATTTAGGAATTGGAACCACAGTCTTAAGACAATTTGGAAAAGTTTTATTGATGTTAAATGTTAAGCATAAATTATCAAACGCATTGTTTATTTGTGAAGATGACTTTATTGGATATGTTAACTATGGAGATGGGAATGAGGACAGAGGTGCTTCAGAGGTGTTGATTTTTTATGTTGTTGGTCTGAGAGATGCTTGGAGGCATTAAATAGCTTATTTTTATACAAAAAAATTGTCATCTCACAAGTTGAAAGATTTTATAAAGAAAGACGTTGATAAGTTACATATTGCCGGAGTTAGGATAAACAACATTTGTTTTTCTTAAAATTATGTTAAAATTTTTATACATTATATTTATTTTTTAGGGTTGTTTCACTGGTAATGGATGGATTGGCCACTAACGATGCGGCCAACAACCGGCCAGAAAATATATATCATATTTGATGCATGCCACATGCTGAAATTAATAAGGAATATGTTTCATTCTTATAATATAATATTTTATAATAATAATCCAATCAAATGGAATCATATCGTAAATTTAGTTAATTATCAACAACAAATCAAAATGAAATTAAAAAATAAATTAACCAAAAATCATGTAAATTTTGAAAAGCATAAGATGAAAGTTAAATATGCATCTTAACTCATGTCTTTAACTGCTCTGTGGCTAAATCACTGGAACTCTTAAACGGATTTGATGTTTTTTCTGACGTTTCTGAAACAATAGTTTTTGTGAAAAACATCAATGATCTTTTCTATATATAGAAAGCAAACTGATACTAGATAGAGAATGGAAGCAATCCATTACAAAGAGCAACCTGACAGCCACTATAGATAAACTTTATGAAATGAAAGCCTACTTACTAAGTTTGAAAAATTTAGATGGTGTTAACATTTACAAAACTCAAAGGTTCTTTTTTATATATATTTCAATATCTAAACTAAAACTAATTACAAACAATTTCAGAAAAATGTGCATAATGGTCTTTTGTACAACCATAAATTCAATAATTGATATTTCGAAAGAATTGTTGAATGAACAACCTTTCGTCCTGACTTACCGTTTCAGTCAGGATGCACTGGAACTTTATTTCAACTATGTAAGAAGATCAGGTATTAAGCTTTCTGACTTAAATCATAATAATGAAATAACATAAAAAATTAATTGTATGCAGGTGGATGCTGCAGTCGCATAAATTGCCAACAATTCAGAGATGTTTACTAAAAAATTCCCCGCAAATTTTTAACAGTTATACTAAGTAATTTTGACATGAAAATTATAAACTGAATAGATTTAAAGCTACTCTGCAATTCACAGGTAACAAAGGAAATGTGTCATCATTTGAAACAGAAGAACTGGTTAGTAATATTATTTTTGAGACAGATTTTGATGACAACGTATTTGTGGAGCATGCGTCAGTGCAGTATATTGTCAGAAATTGCACTGCATGCAAGGCAGGATGGGTGGTGAAGTCAATAACACCGACCATCTCATGTGCAGAATGCAGGTTCTTTTTTCTTCTAATGTAAACATCTCCAAAATTCATTTAAAATTTTGCATTAATATGCTGTTACAAATCCCTACAAATATGCAGAAAATGCTTGATTTCAGCGAGCAGAAACATATTTAGCGAACCATCAAATCATCTCATCATACTAAAAGACAACGGACAATTGACATATCCCTCAAAAAAAGTATTAAAAGTAAAATGATACATTTATTTATTTTCTGGTAAAAGCAATAAATAATGATTTTCAGATCTGCCAAGAATCAGAAAGATTATTAAAACAACAACAACAACAACAACAACACACGTTTAGACGGCATTTTCCCCGAGATCGGGGGTTGCCGTTTGGCTATTTATGATGAAACCGAAATACCCCTCGACGCCATCCACATCTGTCACTCGCCTCAGTATCACGCAGCCCCGCTTTCACCCTGTCCTTCTCCACCTGCTCTCTCCATCCCAATCGCGGACGACCCCTTCCTACCACTCTTTCAAACTCGAACTCCAACGCTCGCCTAATCCCGACCCTTTCATCCCTTCTCAACACATGTCCATAACACCG